CGATCTCCCCAAAACCCCAAAACCCCATCTGGAGAGATTCAAGTACAAGATTTATGAAATAATTAGTGATAATTAAATTACTTTATATATGTTTTATAGGAAACAAAGTCTAATACAATTTTATCGTCTTCACTTAAGATTATCAATTTACTTGTCAAATATTGATTATAATACCTAGAATAGTCAATCTATGCTACTTAACATTATTTGCAAATCTAACAAATCCTATTATTGATTAATCTTATTTTGATAAACCATTTGTCTTCAAACAAATTTTCTTCATACTTAATCACTTTTTTTGTCATTAATGGTAAATTTGTTTGTCACGCAATTAAACTATTAAGATAAAATTACGATATAAATATTTTAGTCTTCTAATATCTTTAAGTGTATTAATCTCTGTTATTATTAATAAGTGGGAATGATTTTATAAGAATGCGTCTCATCTTAAGACTCCTCTCATAATTTATAGAATGATAGGGAAGATAGCCTCAATAAATTTAATTTAGGATGCTGGTCAGCTAAAGTAAGCTCAAATTATTGATTTATTGATTTTTTTGACTCAGATTGAAAAAGCCTTAATTAATCTGGTTGATCAGATTGGTGATAAAAATTGGAAAGAGATCTCTCAAGCACTGAAATAAAAATTCCCTAAATTCAATAAGTCTGGAAAGCAATGTAGGGAAAGGTAAATTCTATTTGTTAAGATTTATTAAAAGATATAAAAATCATCTTGATCCTGAAATTAGAAAAGATTCTAATTCTTCATGGTCAGAGTAGGAAGACAAAATGTTTATGATGACCCACTAACAATTAGGAAATAAATGGAAAGAGATAAGTAATAATATGAAAAATTGGTAAGAGTAAAATCTTGCAAATAATTTACTCATTTAGATCAGAAAATCAAGTGAAAAATTATTACTACTCTACTCTCAGAAAAAGTACTAATTAATTAGTACACAAGAAGGCATCCATATTTTAAGGTTAGGCTATTAATGAATATAATCAAATGAATCTAAGGCAAAGAATTCTCCCTTACTCGGAGAAAACAATATACTTTCTCAAGATTATCATTAGTATATTGGCCAAACCATCAGCAAATCTTGGATTAAACGAGAAAGCGATCCAAAATTAATTGAATTAAAAGAATATCGATGATATATTCTTGCTAGACACCATAAAAGAGATTAATAGGTATCTAGATGATAGTGATACCGAGTACAATGGAGAAGACGATTCGCTAGAATATCATTAAATAAAGGTCTCATCTCCTACCTAGAAAATTCAAAATAATAGAGAACTTACTGTCGGAACCAGAGAGTCTGATTTTATTATTATTGGTAACTATTAATTAATAAATGTCCCGAAGACATACTTGATTGATTAGAAATTATAGCAACTAAATGAGGACCTAAATTTAAATTGTAAATCTTTAATAAATACCTCCTAACTTTAGACCTTGGCTAGTATAAATGCCGTTGATAATATGAAGACTTTATTTTAACTTTGTTGAATCCTTAATTATTTGTTTAAGAAATAATTGTTAATACTCTTCTTGCCATGTACTTGAGTAGTGGTTAAAATAATTTCATCAAGATTTGATTCACGATTTAATTTGTGAGATGCCAATCAATGCTTTTCCATTTAATCTTGTTTTAATCGATTTCAATTTCATGAATCTTAAAGTTTAAAGTTAATAATGGATTATCTAGTACCTAATTAAGTAATTGGTTTGTTTCAGGCCTTTGTATTCACGATATCTACATCATTGAAAAGTTGAAATTTTAGCATTAAGGATCAGTTTATAAGCATTTTTAAGAATTAGCAGCAAATCAATAGAACATTCTATTTTCCTTTTCCTTTCAATTGCAAATTTAATTGAAATTTCAATATAATTCAAGTTGATTCTAGTTTCTTGATACTAAAACCTTTGAATTAAGTTTTATTTATTAGCTAGTAAGCAAGTCCTTAACAATTTTTCAAACTTTTATAGTTTATTTTACCTTTTCAATTATTGCTTGTATCGATTTTGAAGGAATTATTAAGACCTGTTTCTTAATAATCATTTTCAATTTTTAATAAATCCGGTAGAATTAGTTTTGACCCATCTATTAGCAGTCTATTTATTAATAACCCTTATATTAGCAATGAAGCTCAACATCAATTCCTGATTTCCTCAAAAATAATAAATAAGATCTTGAATTATAAATCGGCTTTATTTTGAATTGTGTAATTCAGAAGTATTCTTTTTAAATCTGCAAAAAAAATTGATTGATAATACCTACATTGAGACTCATCTTAAATTTCCTCGTCCTTTTGACAAATCATTTTTTAATTACCGAAAATCCGCTCTAGGAATGTAACCGATCTCCTTAAGCACTGCTGGGCACATTGGCTTGGTCCATACAATTTATGCTACATAAAAATTAAAATGCCTATAACCGAGTCTTTATGATCATAATAGCAAAGAGATATGTTAAAAAGTATTGAAGTTTTATTTTATTTACCAGTTATAGCTTCGGATGAAATTGCTTCTTATTTAAGAATGTAAATGAGTAAAATAAACGGCATAGAATTAAAGTTATCTCAAGAATACAGTACTAAGATCTTGTATCACTCATATAAAATAGATAACTTTATCCATGATAGATATTTTTGGCATTTAAATCCATCTCTAGTTTATCCAATTAATTTAGTCTCTTATAATTTGAATTAGAGAGGACATTGGAGAAACATTCTTATCTTGTTAGCCAAGGAATAAAATTAGTGCAGTGATATAATGAAAATCGTAACAGATGCTGATGTAATAGATCTTGTATTAATGCAGAAAGTCGCTTGCATTTTACAGATTATTCTAACCCTTTAGTACAGTAAAACTAAGACTTATACTCTTGGTTTTCATTCTAGTTTCAATTATGATTCTACAAAGTTGGCCATCCTGTTTAAATAATCCTCGAACGATTATTTTCTTAAAATTTAAAAGGTTAATCTCATTTTTATTTCTTTAGCTACATACCAAATTTCATTTTTATTTTTCAATCATGGGGTTTTGGGGTTTTGGGGTTTTGGGG